AGAAGTTTTTAAATAAAACCGGAGCATAACAAAACCTGGCCCAGAGACAGCTCAGCTTAGCCAAGGGCTTGCTGTGAGTTGTGTTTCCTTCACTAGGATTCCTTACATTTCTCCTGTCTGGTAGGGTCAGGGAGTCTGAGAGAACAAGGCTAGTATGCTGACACAGAGAGACAGAAACAATGAGTCAGAGTCGCCTCTGCCTCTGTGGGTGCAAGGTAAGAACAGAGATGCATTCAGCATGTGCATGCGTGTGGAGGGGAGGGGGAGCTGTGCAAGAATGCTTTAAAGGTGACCTACAAAAAAGGGCGTAAGGACCGAGTTTACATCTACATGGGTTGCGGGATGGGGTTTGCAGTATCAGGTTTTTAACTTTAAGATAGTCACACCATGTCTACCCTGATAAACTTTACAGAACACTGGAGCCATAATAGGTTTATGACATCAGAGATACCAAGGGAGTGTCATTGGATTATTTGAGAAGACCTTAATTCAGCTTGTTGAAAGCTCCCTGTTCTCATTAAGTTCTAATCAACCTAACACTAGGGTTAAAATTGCTATTTCTGTTAAGGATTGAGCAGGAAGTACTCCAACCCCTTTAAAGTTCTAGATCCATTACTCTTGGTTTTCCAGGGGGGTATTTCAGCTAATACAGGGATCACAAATATTGATGTTCTTGATAATTTAAAATAAATGCTGACGAGGAAAAAAATAACCCAATTTCCTAGGTCTTTTCTTGGTTAAAGAAAGGACCACCCCCCTCCACCCTTGGAACATCACTTACGCAGTGGCTTTAAAGAGCAAATGGACGAAGAATCTAGCCTATGGGATGTGTGACATGAAAGCCTGACTCCCTGTTGCCTTGGAAGCTCAGGCCCATCAGAGTCAAAGGTCCTGCCATGCCTAGCAGCCCATCAGGCTCATGTAGGCAAGGCACACCTGTGTCTGCAGCCCACAGCACACAAGGGAGCAATGTGGCTAGCATCACAACTGGCCACCTTTGAATCCCCACTGTCAAAATGACTGGGAATCCATGTGTAGCTGGGTTGAAAGTGGGACTCTTGCTGTGCCAGAGCCTTGAATATGAGACACATTAATTGTTCTGCCACCATAATTCTGCTTAGGCCTCCACTTTATGAAGCCGCCTCAAGGCCCCTTCAGCTCTTGCAGGATGGTTAGCATTTTCTATGTGCTATTTGCTTGAACTGGGATGACAGACTTGACCCTCTCAGCCCCCCAAACTTCTGGTAAACTTTGAATCCAGCTTTTGAATAGAATGCCATGCTCATCCATAGGGTTTCTACATAGGGTGACCATATTACTTTTAAGGAAATCTGGGAC